GCACGAGCCACCGAAACGCGCGCGGCGTGGAGCAGCGGCCGCGTGACGCCCACGCAACGCTCCACCGCCATGCCGCAGCCCAGCAGCAGCGGGCACAGGCCGAAGAAGACCATGCAGCCGCCCAGGAAGTGGCAGGCCCCGCCGGCCGGCGCGCGCCCCGCCGCGTACAGGCGCAGCACCAGTGCGCCCGGGATCACGTGGCCCGCCAGGTCGATGGCCAGCAAGCTGGCGACAAACAGCAGGAAAGTGGCGGCCGAGCGGCGGCGCCTCAGGCGACCCGCGGCCTGCGCCAGCAGCGCCAGCGCCAGCACGTTGGACACGGCACCCAGGGTCATGGAGAAGATGGGCAGCGCTGGCGACGTGCCTGATCCGCCCGACTGTGGCACCGCCGACGCGTTGGGGACCCCGGGCGCAGCGCACGTGGTCGCGTCGCTGGCCACGCTCAGGTTGAGGACCCCGCAAGGGCTCATGACAGTTACCAGGAGGGCTGGGTAGAGGAGAGGAGGGCCAAGTGAGGCTGGCGGGATACATGGTGCCCACCAGCTGTCGGTTTCATCCCAGATCGTCAGGGCTCAGTTGACTCTTGTGACTCTTCTGTGACCTCTCTGCCCAAATGACCCTGACTGCCGCGTTCTGACCCCCTCCTCCTTGCTCCTGGCTTCACTGTCCCCACCGCCCCTTCTCTGTCCAAACCTGGAGACTCCCAGAGCCCCAGCCTTAAGTGTCTGCCTCTACCTCTCTGCCTCACAGAGCCACGTCTGCCCCCACCGCCTATTTTTACACCATAGCAAATTCCTGGCCCTCTAACCCCATCAGATAGACCCTGGCCATTTACAACCCCAGGGCCCCTACCTGTGCTGGGCTGCCCTGTCTCTTCCTTCTCCCTGTCACCTGTAGTGCCATCCTCGATGTCCCCACTACCAAGGCCATGTCCCTGTCCCCCAGGAACCCATCTCTGACCCCCAGGACTCTCTCTGAACCCACACCCTCATCTCCACACACACCCCCTCAGCTCCATCTTTATGCCTTCAAGGCCTCATCTCTGTCCCAAGGCCACATCTCTATCCCCACTGTCCCACCTCTGTCCTCATGGGCTCAACTCACTGTCTCTGTCCCTATGGGACTACCTGTGTCCCCAAAGCCCCATCTCTGTACCCCACAGGCACATTTCTGTGCTCTCTTCCTCTCTTATGCTGGCCCTACCCTTGGCCACCCCACCTGCACCCCAGATACACACACACACATGCGCACACAGTTCCACCCCTTCCGGCCCCACACTCCTGCTTTAGAGGCCTCAGGTGGACCCAGGGGGAACCCCCTCCCTAGTGCGCAGGCGCACACACACACACACACACACACACACACACACACACACAGTTCCTCCATATCCTGGTGGTGAGGGCTGAAAGTACAGAACTGTCCCCACCCCCAGCTCTATGGAAGGGAGGATGGACAGACACTAAGACCCACAGGGACAGACAGACAAATGGAGGAGGTAGAAATAGACCAAGGTAGTCACAGCCCCCTCCTTCCATACCCTTCTCTCTCCCCCCTTACCCCCCACCCCTGCTCTCTGGACCCAGCGTTCTTACCTGGTGCTGCTTGGGAGGCCAGGTCCCCATGGCCCACTGCTGGGCCCCTGCCGCCCGCGCCCGCTGCGCCCTGGCTCTACAGGCCGCTCCCTCCCTCTTCCTGGGGCGGCGCCTGGGCTCCCTGCCTCCCTCCACCCATGGCCTCCAGGGGCCGCTCCACCCTGCCAGCCTGCCCGCGGGGGGCCTGGAGTGGCAGGGACCCCCCTGTACTCCTGGTGATGGGCAGTGGCCATTTGAGCCTCCCCCTTCTGCAAGGACACAAGCTCTCTGGGACTTGGCCTGGTCCCTTGCGACCCCTCCTCCCTGCGGGGCGGGAGCAGCCCCTCTCCCCTCAGGCGCGGCCTCTTCCCTGCCTCATTAATATAGTGGATAAAATCTAAACACTGGAAAATGTGAGTGTCACCAGGGGTAGCTGAGGCAGACTGCAGGGGGTAGCGCTGTCCAGACTGGGGCTTTGGAGTTGGGGGGACTGGTCTGCATGGGGCGGGGGGGGGGCAACAATGTCCCTCTGTGTTCCCAGAGCCTTTGTGGGTGTCCAGATGGGGTGGCAGTGGGCAGCACGGTGGCAGACTGGCTTGGGTGATGTCCAGTGTGGTCGGGAGAGCCTCCCACTATTTACACAGGGGCTTAAGCCCAGCCAGGGCAGCAGGCGCCACACCCCAAGAAGAGGGGGAGGCTCGAGGGCCCTGGGGAGCCAGGCCAGCGTCTGCATCCTGCTTTTGAACCACACATGGAACACCCAAGCCGCAAAGGCAGACACATAGCCACAGCCTCACTGCATGCCCTGAGAAGCAGGGTCACGACCTGGGGACACACAATCTCATACCTGGAGACTCCTGTTCCCATCTCAGTGGCAACCAGGTTGCCACTGTCCCCTCCCTGATACTGAGTTGTCCCAACACCTAGCTTTGCAGACCACACATGGTTACTGTCAAACAAGCCTCTTCCCTTGACACCCCAAAGAAACAAAGGAACTCCATGGTGCCCCTTAGCACTGGGAGACAGTCTTACCTGGCACCCTGGGACTGCTGTCAGAGTGTCAAGTCATTCCATGTCACCTGGAGATGCCCCCTCACAGACCAAGTCACACTCAGTACACCCAGGACTCCAGTGACACCCTTGGAACACCCGAATGTAGTCCCCCATGCAGCTTTGGACACCCCCTTGAGACCTAGTCAGTCACCCCAATCTCCTAATAGCAATACCCTGAGACAGGCCCACACTTCCGGACACCCTGAGACAGACGGTCACCCCCGAACCCCTAACAGTAATACCCTGTGAGACATAGGCTCAGTCTCACACTCCTAGACACCCAAACACAGCCGGTCACCTCCATCCCAGAAACTAACACCTAGAGACACAGATTCATACCCCTGCCTGGACACCTGAGACCTAACTGGTCACACCTCACCCCTAAAACAGCAACACAGAGACAAATGCCACACCCCGATCCGACACAGCCCCATAGTTACAGCCCATAAACCCTACCCAAATAGAGTCTGGAACACAGGCTTACCCGCAACACAGACACAAGTCACCGGATCACCGGCGTCAACGCTGATAGGCACATTGTCCCAGTCCCTCACCCCGGAACTGTCCCCTATCACAGATACACAAAGAAAACACCTAAAGGTGCCAAGGGGGACCAAGCCACCCAGACTGCTGTGCAGGCGCCATGGGCCTTCCCTCCCCCTTCTCAGTGCCCCCCTGCTGGGAACGGGGAGCCAGCAGGGTCCAGGCTTCCCCGCGGCATCTCGGCTGGACCCCAAACATTCCTGCCGGGACCTCTGGCCTGGCTCCCACACTTCCATCCTCTCCCTTCCCTCCAGGTCTGGCCAGGGTCCCGCCCTCCCTCTCCTTGATCTCAATCCTCCAGGATGGAGTTCATTGTCAAAACAACTTGCTCGGGTTTATGTCCACGGACCTCACATGGGGGCCGTGCACAGCCAGCATCAGCTTTGGTGGGGTGCGGTGTGGTGGGTGGGGGACCTCCCAGTGCCCCCCATGTCCCTGGAGTGACGACAGCCTTGTCATTCTCAGGGAGCAGTGGGGTGGCCTTGATGGAGCGGGGGCAGGTTTGAACCCTTCCTAAGCCAGGAATTTTCAGCGTTGCCTGGAAGCCTGGTGGCCTGCGGCCAGGAGCCGCGTCAAGAGGACAGTGGGAGGGGGCAGCGGCCCGGGGCCAGCTCCTAATTCAATTTGGAGCAGGAGGAAGATAGATTTCAGCTGCTGCCTTTTTCCCAGCCCACACCCCCCCTCCCCGCAAGTGACACAGGTCCAACAGCAGATAGATTCTTTATGTCCGAGACAGCAAATTCAGATACAAAAGCCCACCGCCATCCTGCATCCCTCCCTCCCGCTCCAGTTTGGGGCAGGGGCCATGAGAGAGAGATAGATGATGGGGTGTGGGGGAAGTTTTGGGGGTTCACAGCAGAGGCTCCTTTCAAATGCAGAGGTAACAGAATCCAAGTTGAGGAGGCTCCTCTTGGGAGCGGGGAGGAAGGTATTATTGCCTGTGCTCAGGGGAGACACCCCCTTTTTGCATTCCCTGCATCAGGAAGCTAGAGAGGTCATGGCCCCTAAACGGAACCCGAGGTCCCAGGGGGACAGAAGGGACCAGTTTTGGCAGCTGATCGTGGAAAGTGTTGGGGGCGGGGGCAGCCGTCCAATTTGGCCTGTCCCCTCCCCCATGCCTGACCCTGCTGAGGTAGTGGGGAACCGGGCAGGGGGGGGCACTGCCGGGGTCCCCTGGGAACTGGGGAAGGTGGTGGTACCGACTGGAGTGGGGCACTGTCCTCCAGATGCTAAGCTATGGGCCCAAGCTGGATGCTCAGGTCCTAGCCGTGCCGTGGTGTCCCCAACAGGGACGCCCCACCAGGCCAAGCTGAGATCACCATGAGGTGCAGTGGGAGTCCTAGTAGCGGCCGACCTTAGCGTCTCCAATGGCTCCCCAGACGTCAAAGACGAACTCGTCCGGGAAGGCAAAGTCACCAAGCCGTTCATCCAGGGCTTCGGCTAGCTCGTCTGGGTTCCTTTTGTCTTTCCCTAGCTCCACCATAGTGGCCGCTGTGTGGGACAGGCACAGAAAGGAGGCACAGATGGCGCAGGGGGCCGAAGGGAGCAGGGGAGACTCAGCCCGAGCTGGACCTGGAAGCCCCCTCCCCCATACGCTGGGAGGCCCTCAAGCACGTACCCAGCTCTGTGTCTCTGATTCCCATGTAGCTCTCCAGCAAATCGTCCACCTTCTCAATCGCCTTTTCCTCAAAGGCGGACGGCTGGGGTCGGGGGAGGACAGGGACACCACAATAATAAGAATATAGCTACCACTGTACTTATTAAATGCCCTTATTATCTGGGCATGGCAGTGCACACCTATAATCCCAGCACCTGGAAGGCTGACCAGGAGGAGTACAAATTCAAGTTCAATGTGGGCTACGTATTGAGTTCCAGGCCTTGTCTCAAAAAAATTAAAAGTCAGATGCCGGTGGCTCACGCCTGTAATCCTAGCTACTCGGGAGGCAGAGATCAGGAGGATGGAGGTTTGAAGCCAGTCTGGGAAAAGAGTTCATGAGACCCCATCTCAAATAACCCTTCACAAAAAAGGGCTGACATAGTGGCTCAAGCGGTGACAGTGCCTGCCTAGGAAGTGTGAGTTCAAAGCCCAGTGCCACCAAAAAACATTATAAATAAAATAAAGCCCTTATGCTCTTTTCATTTCACCCCCCCATCCACCTTCCTTTCTTCTTGCCTCCCCTCTCCCTTTCTCTCTCTCTCTTTTTTTTTTTTTTTTTTGAGACAGTGCCTTGCTATGTAGTCCAGCCTGGCCTGAAACTCACAGTCCTCCTGCCTCAGCCTCCTGAGGGCTGGGATTATAGGTAGGCACTACCACTCCTGGCTCTTATTCACATTTAATCCCCTAGCACCGTGTGAGGAAGGTATTAGTACTCAGTGTCTTGTGTCCTATTTCATAGGTGGGGAAGCCGCTGTCCAAAGAAGCTTCCCAAGCTGGGAGGTGGCAGAGGTGGGTCTGGATCCAGGCAGAGCTGCCCAGAGTCCCTCAGCTGCCAGGGAGTGCTGTCCCCATGGACAGGCAGGGCAGGAAGGCCAGGACGGCTGGCTCACTCACCAGATCCTCCACTGTGGCAGGACCCCGAGATCGGAGCCGGAGGGTCCCTCGGCCAGTTCCCAGTTGTGGGCCAGAGCCAGGGCGGCCACCCGCTGAACGCTGACTGATCATGTCTGTGGGAGACAGGAGGATTTTGGGGTGTGGGGGCAGACAACCCCTCCCAATTTTCTCCCAGCTTTTTCAGGGTGGGTGCCTGATTCCCAGGAGGTAGGGCTTAGCTAGAGAGGGGACTACAGAGGACAAGAAGGGGGTGGGACTTGGGTCTCTGGCCACTCTGGTCATAGCTGGTGGGTAAGTGGGGGGATAGAGTTGGTGAGCCCCAGACCAGCCTTACCTGTCCAGGAAAGTGCTTAGAGGCCCCCACCCCCACCCCAGGGGCCCGGGGCCCATTCCTGGGAGTTCGTGAAGCCAGATGGAAAATGGGGGCTGGCACAAGAGCGGCCAAGCCTGGCTTCTCGGGGCTAGGGGGCGGGCTGGCCAAGGGTTGGGAGAACTTGGCTGGACTCATGGAAGTTGGGTGTGGGGTCAACTTCCTGCAGGCTGGGCGGAGTGCTAGCGCCCCCGCCCTTTCTTCTGCAGGCCAGGCTCGACCGCCACCTGCTGGTGCATCCCGGAACTGCAGCCTGGGTGGCGCACCGAGGTCAGGGTGTCAGGTGCAGTGGTCCTGGTCGTGGGGGGGCCCGCTCACCAAAGGCCTTGCGGGGCTCCGTGAGCTTCAGCGTGAAGGTGCGGCCTCGAGGAAGCTCCTTGAGCAGCCGGGCCACCTCGTAGTGCCGGCAGCCCAGCAGGCTCTGCCCATTGATGGCCTCGATCATGTCACCCACACTGATGACCTGGATGTGGTCGATCACGCTGCCCAACTTAATGCGCTGAGAAGGGGACGTGGCAGGCGGGTGAGGGGCGATCAGTTCAGGGGGAACCCCCTCTGGGACCCCCGGGCTGTGGGGTGCCCCTCCACTCCGGTACCTTGATGAAGGCGTATCCGGCCCCGTTGTCCGTGATGGTCAGTCCCAGAGCATCCTCGGACTTGAACACCTCCACCTCCTTGCGCTGCCCCTTGACATGGGCGAAGATGAAGTCCTCCAGCCCGATCTGGCCCCCCAGCAGCTTGTCCATGTCCACCTTGTGGGTGTTCAGCGTGCAGAACATCACCTGCAGGAGGGAGGGAGGTGCTCGTGCCTGGCCTCCCTCCCGTGGCTAAGGCCTGGGGGTCTCCAGCCCAGGCAGGGACCCCACCAGCATCTCAGCTCTGCTGGGACAGGATTCCTTTCTCTGTTGCCTCCCTCCATCCTCTCTTTCCCTGTCTCTGTCTCTGTCTCTGTCTCTGTCTCTCTCTTTCTCTCTCTCTCTGTACTGGTGTGGGACTAGGATTTCTGCCATGGCAAGACTTGATTGCTGCTTCCGGGCAGTGGAGGCTGTATGCAGTGAGCACTCCATAAATGCTTGTGGAATGAATGAAGGGGCTCAGATCCGACCCAACCCTGAGATTCTGTGAGACCCACTGCTGCCCCTTTTCCCTGCCTGGCCTGGGGCCAGGTCTCCAATACACCATGGACAGGTAAGCCATTTTTTTTTTTTTGGTGGGACAGGGATTTGAACTCAGGGCTTCACACTTGCAAAGCAGGCAGTCTAACATTTGAACCCTACCTGCAGTCCATTTTGCTCTGGTTATTTTATATATGGGGTCTCAAATTTTATCTTGCCAATCTCAGCCTCCCAAGCAGCTGGAATTACAGGCGTGAGCCACCGGCTCTGGGCGCCAGGTGCATCTTGCTTGTGACCTGAGCCCCCCATCCCTCCCCACCCCCCAGAGTTGGGGTGCATCCTGGGGGGTGTACCTCGGCCGCGGGCAGGCGGAAGGCCTCTGCGATCTTGCCGTACAGCTCCTTGACGTTGGTGAAGCCCTCGATGCGGCCGGTGGGGCTGCCGTGGGCCAGCTGGGTGTGGAAGACCAGGCGCGGGCGCAGGGCGGCGGGGGGCGGGGGCAAGCCCACCTGCGGGCCCCCGGCCCCGCCCCCGCCCAGAGGC